GCTTGTTCCTTTTTCACATGTTGTCACTCCCAGTTCTTCTGTTCCCCAAATGCCACCAGCTCAAGGATGACTTCTTTAATGCAGAAGGAAGAGCCTTACCATTGGAAGTTATTGCATAAAATTTAGTCCTAAAATTCATGCCACCAGGACATTTTTCCTTTTTTTTTTTTTTTTTTTTTCTACAGGGCTTAACATCTTATCATGACCCTAGCCCAAAACGGGAGAACCCCTTTCTCCCTACCTGGTTTCCCTACTTTCTCCCTGCCTGTCAAGTTTCTGTTCCTTTCTTATTCAGAAAATTGTAGATATTTTAACTTTATCCTATTCCAGCCCCACCGTCCCTAATGTTTGTAGAAGAAAAATACCCATTAAAGTATGATTCGAAAACAAAGAGAGATATTTTCCCTAGAGAGGAATGTACCTGATATCCCTTAATTTATTTTATTGTCTTCAAATTTTAATTTTTATTTTTTTCTGGTTCTACTTAGGTCTGTATCTCATTGGCACTCACAGTAACAGGGACAAAAGGCATGTTAGATTTAGTGGGAATGTTAACTGTAAAAGTATAAATGGTTAAAATTATTTGCCCCTGGAAGTTTCTAGACCATCTTTTCAGGCTCGACCCCTTTGTGCAAATATTTACAGCCCTTCTCCGTGGGAAGAGAGAAGAGCAATTACGTTACTTATATGGTGACTGTAGCACCCACATTTTTGAGGAAACGTTTTCAGTTCTCCTTGGTAGAAACTCACGTTTTCTGTTGCTTTTCCAGTTTATTTAGATCATTTGGGGTCTTCTGCTCTTCATGCCTGTAACCTACCCCTTAATCATTAAAGTTTACATTTTCCTAGTTCCTGAACCTCCTACGTTCTTTCTACTTACATTTAATAAGATATATGTAATAATATATATGTCTATTTATAATATATTATAAACATACAGAAAAGTATAATAAGAGAGATACCCATGCAATAATTTAATATTAACAACTGTTAAATAGGCACCTTATTTTTCTCTGGTCTTTCTTTTGGAAAAGAAAGAAAATGTTGAAGATAGCCCTGTCGCACACCCTTTCCTGTCCCTCCCAGAAGTAACCAGCATTCTGTCTTTATTTTCTGTATATGATTTTATAAGGTGACTACATATGTAGGTTGCTACTACACCGCACAGGACTGTGGGTTTAGAGTTATTTTATCTGACTCTCCACCCCTTGCTCCATGTGTCTTTTCTTGCTGACCTTGTTTCTCACACTCCCCCCTTCTACATCCTCCCCTGACAATGGACCAGAAGAGGAGCAAACAGAATGTCCTTCCCCCCCTTTCTACTTCCTCCTCCCTCCCCGCTCCTCCCTCCTTGGCTGTCTACTTCACCGTGGTTTCTGCTCTCCTTTTCCTCCTGTATTCTTGGTGCCCTAGTTGTAAATCACTTTAATTTCTATTTTTGGCCTTGAAGACTAATACAAGGTCAGTTTTCCTCTGCCATTATTCGGGAACCAGGTAAGATGATGTTACTGAGAATCTAAGAAGGAAATGTAGTTGAATTATTTTCAAGTGTAGACACATGGCTTAGGGAAGAAGGGGCAGAGCTGTATGTTTTGGAGTACCTGACACTTTGTAGTATCAGATATGAATGACCTATCATTGGCATGTTTGTTGTTTAAATGTAGTGCTAAAGGCCTTTTCCATTAGGTTAAGAGTGCTAATTAATTTACAAAATTAATTTGCTTAACAAAATTGTATGTATCCTCCCAGATATTGGTAAACTCTCATTTTATGGCCTGTCTATAACAGAGATTTTTAAATTTCTGTTTAAATTATCCATAAGAGAGTTCAATGTAGACTGGCCTTTTCTTTCTTTCGTTGAAAGAGTATTCTTTGCCTGCCATGGGCAAGACACACTCTGAGTGTAGCCAGGCTGGGGCTCTACTCTTTAGGGACATGCCAAATGACTATGACAAATATTTGGAGCTTAAAGGATATAATCTTAAATTGGAAGACAGATATTTATTCAGATACTACCAAGAAAAACAACCTAGGGTGGGAGAGGAAGGGGAGGAGAGGTGGTAGGGCTTGAGTGTGTTTGACCTCTATAAGGAACTGGTTTTTTGGCATTTGATGGACATTCAAAACCCTTCCTTGTGTGTATCTGAGATGTTGGGGACAAAGAGAGTTGAGTCCAGACATTGCAAATCTCAGTTCTATCATTAGATGACAATTACCTTTCGGTTATCTGATAGATGTCTCCATATCACACATTCCAATATCCCTTCCTCACCTCCTAAATCCCAATAAAGGAGTTAAGAGTAAGGATGGGAAGTTGATTGTGTGCATATCTTATCAAATGAAGCCAAGTATAGTTTTGGCCTTCTGAATGCACTCCAGTGGGGCTGTCCACCCATTGCTGGTTCCTTTCCTAATGCAATATTTTGGAATATAGTATAGGCCCGTATTCTTCACAACCCCCCATGCCTGTCTTCTCTCACAGACCCAGGATTCCTGCCTGAGCAACCACTGTCTTCTCTAACGATTAATTATAAATTAGGAACAATTAACTGGCACACTCTGCATGCTCAGATTGGAGAGCTGTCGGAGGGTTAGAGTAGAAGGAGAGAGGTGAACACAGTAGCCTAGAGGCGGAGATTTTGCAGTCATTGTTTTAAAGTCTGAGTATTTGGGGCCGGCACAGAGGCTCACACACTTAACTCCTAGCATATGGGAGCCGAGGGCGGAGGATCACTCAAGGTCAGGAGGTTGGAAACCAGCTGAGCAAAAGTGAAGACCCCCCTCTACTAAAAATAGAAAGATTTAATTGGCCAACTAAAAATATATAGCAAAAGACTTAGCTTTATGTGGCGCGCATGCTGTAGTCCCAGACCTCCGGGAGGTGAGGCAGGAGATCGCTTGAGCCCCAGGAGTGAGGTTGCTGTGCTGGCGAACTACCAGTGCATCTAGCCCCGGTGAAGAGTGAGACACTGGTTCAAAAAAAAAGATAAATTCCATGTTTACATTTAAAGTTTTCAAGCACATACTTCCTTCGCTTTGCGATTCACTGTTTAAAAACACGAACAAAAATGAATTTTTCTGTTAATCTGCTAGAATACTGGAATGAACATTTTAGGCTCTTTTCTAGTTTTAGAAGAGATCCGACTTAGACCTTGCTTGTAGATGGTCAGGGTAATCAGTGTTGTTTTTTTTTTCATTTCTAAGAAATTACATTTAAGTTTTTTTTTTTTTTTTTTTTTTTAACTTTAACTTTTTTATAGGAAAGAGGGTAGTTGTTGCCCTAGGAACCATGGAAGAACTAAATGACACTGATGAACGAGACTAAGGGTTTTAGCTTTGAAGTAAATTTTTAAAGGTTCTAAAAATGAGCTTGTATTTATGATTTTTAGTAATAAATACAAATCATTTTGAGATATACAGAGGGATATCTGCCACTCCTGAAATTTTCCCAAATGACACTACATGTTTTATGTTTTCGAAGAGATTGAGACAAAAAAAGATCAAACCCAGAGGCTTTTTTTTTTCTTTCCCAAAACAGGTAGGATTTGGGGACATTTGGCATTAATTGTCTATGACACAGGGTGATTAATGTGGCATTTGAGATACAAATCTGTCTTCCACACTGAGAAGAAATAACACATACAGATGCTTGAGAGTCAGTGGAGTGTAATAAAAAAAAAAAAGAAAAACTTGGGAATCAGGAGATAGGAAGGTTTATCCAAGATTTCCCACAAACTTCAGTTTAATAATGAATTTCTGTACCTTTTCTGTTTTATAAAGTTTCTTTAAATGTCAAACCTGTGGTTTGCTGCTTTTCTTATTAGTTCTTTTACTTTCTGATGAGATATAGTATATACTCTGTCTAACATGTGCCTAGCACTGTGGGGACAGGAATTTTACAAGTTTCATCCCATTTAGTCACCTTATGAGCTCAGATCTCTGCCCCCAGCCCACTGCACTGTTTCCCTTCATCGTTAATTTTCTCCCAGGCTATGGGAAATAATAGCAAGTGGGCCATGTTTGAAATTTTCAAAAAGCTAAAGGTATTATACTCCATTATTCCTTTATTCCTTTTTTCTAAAAAAAAAAACAACAAAAAAACCCCCTAAATGTCATCTTGGTCATGCAACAGAAGTGAGAATAGAAAGCTTTTGTCCCTCCCTGTCAAAGAAAAACACTCACATGTCATTGTTGGTCTCTCCTTGCCCCAACTCCCTTTTTTGCTTGTTTGGAGATCCAAGAGATTCACAATGCCTGGCTTAAAACATGCTGTCTCAGACACACCAAACTGGCATGTGTGCATGCCCATTTTAAGAGCAAAACTATAAAAATATGAAGAGAAGGAAGGTATTTTTTAGCCATTTAATAGATATTTAGCGATTGTTTAGAGTTTAAATTTGACCTAGTAGTTATTCAATTTTATATATTGCAGCTTCATTCTGACCAAATCTCATTTTCATTGTTGTTTTTTTTTTTAATGTAATTTTTTTTTTTTTTAAGAGATAGGGTCCTGCCAGGTTACCCAGGCTGGCCTCAAACTCCTGGGCTCCAGGGATCCTCCTGCCTCAGCCTCCCAAGTAGCTGGAACTACAGGCACATGCCACCACTCCCAACTGTCCTATATTGAGTTTTTACCTACAAATATTGAATATAGCTTTTGGAGAGAAAATGTCAAGAAAGTGTTTTTTTTTTCCCCCTGAAAGGTTTTCCATTTCTACCTTACACTAAACCCTTGTTTAAGATGTGCAATGTTTGGGAGATGGACACGCTTGAAGCTCTTACTCGAGGGGGGAGGGGGCCATGGGCAATATAAGTGACCTTAACACTTGTACCCCCATAATACGCTAAAATCAATAAAATAATAAATAAATAAATAGAAAAAAAAATGAAAATTAAAGAAAAAAGAAAAAATACAAAAACAAAAGAAAAAGAATCACCTTGATTTGTCATTTGTTGGTCTTCTTCAGTGCTAATAATGCTTTGCTTTACTTTTTCTTTAGTGACACAAATGAAGTTGACATACCCCCCAACACTCGAGTCGGCACCAAACGCTATACTGCCCGGAAGTGTTGGACGAGAGCTTGAACAGAAATCACTTCCAGTCGTACATCATGGCCGACATGTACAGTTCGGACTCATCCTCTGGGAGTCGCTAGGAGATGTGTATCAGGAGGTAAGGACCGGTGACATCTGTGAAAATCTACTGGAGCTACCATGTTCTACAAGCTACTACGGTGGAGCTACTGCGATAACTTTGATCAAAATCAAAGTTATCATATTATAAAAAACCAGGTTTTCTTTATTCCCTTTATTTCTGTTATACAATGACAGTCCTCCCAGGGCATGATATTCGACACCATAGAATAATCTGACTGCTTCCTTCTCTACCCACTACTGATGAATCTCTTTGGACACACTGCAGATTCCCAGCCTTTTCGATGATCAGCCTCTTCTGTTCTGTGTGTTGTCTCATTTCACTCTTGGGCTCTTATCCAGCAGTTGCTGCATCCGTTTTCTGCCCCTTCCAGCTTCTCCTCACCCCTTGCTGTGCCCATCGCAGCTCCAATGCCCCGCTGTAGACGCGCATTCCTCCGTAGAGATGTCTCTAGGACGTAAATTTTCTCCCCTGTTTCTTCTGTAAGACTTCCTCAAAAGCAATTGAAAACATAACTTTTTATCAAAAGGAAATTACACATCAACATATATATTGTTACTGTCATGGTAATTCTTCTACAAAACATAAGGATTCCCTAGTAAGTCCAGTTACAATAAATACAGAATCTTTAAACATTCAGAAATATTATTGCATGGACTATTTCGATTGCAGCCTAATTCCATCTTCCAGTAAATTCTAATATCTTTTGGGTCAGAAGCTGAGTCTTAGGCTTTTCTGTATCAAGTACCCTGATATCTTATTCTGCCTATGGTTGTGTTGATTAAACAAACAAACAAACAAACAAAAAACCTCAATGCTGCTGCTGTTGCTCATAATGGCCAGTTTGAACTCATCTTCCTAAAGCATGAGCTTGGCCAGGATTCTGAAAGTGCAGCATATACTTAACTAGTGCAATATTTGTTCTTTCACCTGCTACTTATTATGTGTGATACCTTGGGCAAATTAGTGAACTTCGTTTCAGTGTTCTCATCTTAACAATGAAGCCAATTACTGTATGTACCTCAGACAGTTGTGTGGTTTCCATGAACGTAAAGAGAATCAAAATTACCCGGCGCATAAATGACACTCAATATGTGTTAGCTATTACTACTAATAACTTTCATCTCAGTTGGTAAAGCCATAGCATATTTAGAGTCATATTTGAATATAAAGAAGAAACAGTTATCACCAAATGCTCGCACTTTGGTAGAAAGATCATGTTCGGTGATACATGCTTTCTTAATCACCTTGGGAATTCTGGGCCTTATTATAAGCAATTTGAAATAGAACACGTTCTCTCTGAATGGGAGAACTCTCTTGTGCAAAAGGAAAGGCAAAGCAGAAAATGTTCTCTAACCAGAGAGTGAGTGACTCTCCCATCGTAAGTACGAAGAAGAAAAGAAGAAGAAACCAAAATATAAATGAATTGTGTGTGCCTTGATTGCATGCTTCAGAAAGAGTATATTTTTGAATAATATGCTTTCGGTTAATTAAGATAGGTTTATAGATGTTGAAGGTCTAATAGAGTGTAAGATTACTTTTCTAATTGTATGTTTCTCTGAAATTTAAAACAAATAGGGCTACAAGAAGCCCATATTAGAAATCCTGTCAGTCTCATGCAGGAGAAATGACTTTCAGCTTAAAAACAAGACAGTTCTATGTCCACAGCAGAGTGTGAATTGCTTTGCGAGGGCTGTCTTTGCAAATGGGGACTCGAGAAGGTACCGCAATGTTCCCTTGTCCCTCAGAGTCCCAGCTCTGCCCACACCAACTGAAGGGCCCTGGGCAAGTTACGAAAGCCACCAGGGCCAGGTTTCCCCATCTGAATAGCGTGGAGAATAATGCTGTCTCATAAATGTGTTTGTGAGAATTTAGTAAGATAAATTTTATAAAATGCCTGCATGCTTGTTATATAATAGGCTCTCCACAAATGATTTCTTTTCTTTTTCCAGAAAAGCAAAGCACACAAAATTCTCTAACACTTTTCCTTGTGAAGATATTGGACATCTTTGTGGGGCTCATCTTTCTAGCGCAGGCATTTTTGGGTGAAGGAGACCCATCCAGATGTAGATCTTTCCATCTCTGGAAGGAAAAGGGAGATAGACAGTTTGTGTCATGGCCCATTTACAGGATGGAGGATGAACACAAAATGAAAACACAGAACACAAAGAAAAATGCGGACACATGTACAAATGGTTGACTCAAGTAATAATACACTGGGTCAGTTTTATTTTTATGTTCTAAAAGATTAAAGTTAGTTCCTTGTACATAACTACCCAGGCGTGGCAGCGATAGCCATAAATTCCGGAATACGTAGCCTTAGGGAAGCAGATATCCCCTGGCTCAAGGTTTCTAGGTGGTTGCTCTATTCGCTAGGCATAGATCATGGACTGAGATTAGCAAGGATGGGCAAGACAAGTCACGGGGGATTTCTCATCCCCAGCTTTTCTTAGGGTGATCCCCTAAGATCTTTGGCTGATCCCCTGCAGCTGCGCCTGGCTTAGGTCGCCCCTCCCTTGACAAGTCTTACCCGTCATTGACTAACCAGCCATCTTATGGGGTGTATGCAGCAATCACAGGAACAATGTGTTTATCGTGTGGCCTCCAGACCAGTGCCACGGGGCGGGGTAGCTCTTGCTTACTTGCAACTCAGGTCCTTTGTTATGCCTCTAGGCAACAACCTTGTTTATCACAAGGATCTTGTCTGGAACACATTACTTTCAAACGCTCTGGACAGAACACGTACATGACTCACTAACTTTAATTCTTAAACTAGGAAAATATATGTCAGTCCCCTACAGTTTGGAGGTTGCAAACACAGAATTAAATGCCAGCTAACGTGGGCCATTTTGAAAACTCAATTGCATGATAAGGAGAAAGGAGTAAGTTCTATAGTTCAAAGCCAAAATTTGACCAATTCATAATTATATGGTAGCACATACACCTGTTTCTCGAGTAACAGCACCAGTGTTAGCACTAAGGAAAATACAAGATGAACTAAATAGATACTGTCCCGGCCATCAGGGTGTTTCCAGGGCCACTGACTTGAGAATTAAGTAGAGAGGAAGAAGTGGGATGAAGCAGCGTGCCTCCCTTGTGTGGGGCCTGTGATTTTATGATCTCATAGACAGAAAACACAATGGGAGGAAATATTCACATACATGACACATAGAATTAAGCTCTGTGGTCACAGCAGGTGAGTTGGAATATTTGAGAAAACTCTGAACCTTCTGATCCTCTATGGGTTTGAGTTTACATGAAAGCACATAACACAGACCCCAATTTTTATTTTTTTTATTTTTTTGAGACAGATTCTCACTCTCACCCGGGCTAGAGTGCCCTGGCATCAGCCTAGCTCATAGCAACTTCCAACTCCTGGCCTCAAGCGATCTTCCTGCCTCAGTCTCCCAAGTAGCTGGGACTACAGGCATGGTGCATCACCATGCCCGGCTAATTTTTTCTATATACTTTTAGTTGGCCCATTAATTTCTTTCTATTTTTTTTTAGTAGAGATGCGGTCTTGCTCTTGCTCAGGCTGGTTTCAAACTCCTGATCTTGAGCGATCCTCCCACCTCGGCCTCCCAGAGTGCTAAGATTATAGGTGTGAGCCACGGCGCCTGGCCTAGACCCCAGATTTTGCCAGAGCAAAACCCCAGTGAATTTAATGATACAGTGTGTAATCTGCCAGCCAGTGGCATTGCCTTTTCCAGGTGGAAAGTAAAGACAAGTCTATAAGTGACGATTTAGGGTGGGCAGGACGGGAGGTCCCGAACAATTGTTCAGAGCAGCGTCCTCTGAGGACGGGGCTGCTTGTGAGTGTCGTGCGGAGTTTATCTGAGAAGGTTAGAAAGAAAACACAGTCGCTGCATTTTTGAAGGACAAGAGGAAGATGGTGGAAATGAGGCACTAGGAAAGATGCAATAGAATTTAGCGTGGTAAGTGCCATTTTCGTGTAGATGGCATAGATCTGTAATTTCTTAACCCTTCTTTCAACAACACATGTGTTTTTTTTTTCTAATAGTAATGTATTCCTTGTCAAAAATTTGGATCAATACAGAACATTTAAAGGAGAAAATAAAAATCAAACCATCCTTGAACCTAAAAAAATTATGGGTTAATACTTTCGGGTATATATAAGCTTCCAGATAGTTAATGTGTGAATGCACTTTTTTCTTTCTTTCTGAGACAGAGTTTTGCTCTGTTACCCAGGCTAGAGTGACGTGGCATCTTCATAGCTCACAGCAACCTCAAACTCCTGGGCTCAAAGGATCCTCCTGCCTCAGCCTCCCGAGTATCTGGGACTACAGGCATGCGCCACCATGCCCGGCTAATTTTTTCTATTTTTTGTAGAGATGGGATCTTGTTCTTGTTCAGGCTGGTCTCGAATTCCTGGCCTCAAGCAATCCTCCTGCCTCGACCTCCCCAAATGCTAGGATTATAGGCGTGAGCCACCACGCCCAGGCCAAATTCTTACGATTAAGCAGAAAAAAATGTAAATCTGGCATTTTTTTAAGTTACCAAATTTATTATGATATTCATAATTTCATACTACAGTAATAGAAACAGTCACGTATTATTCAGTATGAGTTCAGAATATATTTTCCAAATTTGCATTGAGATTTAATATAGATTTGTTTATTAATTTGGCCTTTATGAAATTGGGAATAAATTGTTTTACTTAGCTTTTGGAAATTAGAAAGAAAGGCCTGAAGACCTGTGATAATATTTTCCTTTGAGTGTTCTGTTTATCTTTTTATAAATTAGATTAAGTGTTTTTTGGGTACATTTTTTTCAGATTACTTTTTCTTTTCCTCAGGTGTCTTTAGTTTTTTTTTTTTTTTTTGAGACAGAGTCTCACTTTGTTGCCCAGGCTAGAGTGAGTGCCGTGGCATCAGCCTAGCTCACAGCAACCTCAAACTCCTGGGTCAAGCAATCCTCCTGCCTCAGCCTCCTGAGTAGCTGGGACTACAGGCATGCGCCACCATGCCCGGCTCATTTTTTCCATATCTTTTTAGTTGGCCCATTAATTTCTACTTATAGTAGAGACGGGGTCTCTCTCTTGCTCAGGCTGTTTCGAACTCCTACCTTGAGCCCTCCCGCCTCGGCCTCCAGCGTGCCAGGATTACAGGCGTGAGCCACCGCGCCCGGCTTTGTCTTTAGTATCGAAAGCACCTTCCTTTGAGAATGGTTTATTGGTGAGACTTTTATTTCTACCTCACAAAAATAATGACTAATGGGAAAACCATACTTTAGGTATCGTGAAGAGTATCAGCTGCCCTATCATGACCTCGTGCCCAGCGACCCTCTTAGGAGGACATGAGAGAGATCGTGTGCATCAAGAAGTTACGCCCCTCATTCCCAACCGCTGGAGCAGCGACGAGGTAAGGACTGAGGGACGTCGTGGCTGGACTAACTTCTTTCTAGAGTATCTTCTGTTGCCGGATTCTAGATAGTCACGATAGAATTCATTGTGGCGACGGTTCCTCTTTGCAATAATTTAGATGAAGATCAGTGTACTGTATATGTTTCCTGTTTCCAATTTATTTTGCCACTTCCAGAACATACGAATGGATCAATATTTAGCCTGTGTCGGAGAGTAACATTATTTCATCTATTTATGGCATCTTGACATGGTCATAAGGGCTCTTAGTTCTCTCTGTGTGTTTTTAAGGCTTGATGATCTCTCTCCATAGCAAAACCCATGCAGACCAGTCTACCATTTTGACGGGAGCAAAAGTTAAGCCTCTGAAGCGAGTTTTCCATGCACAGAAGCGACGCAGATCCACCGAGTGGAGACACCTGCCTGTGCTGGTCTTTGTCACTAGGGACGATGAGATGTGATCTGAGCAGATCCACTGTCCCTAGACTCTAAGGACCTAGAGGTGAAATGCAGGCAGGTGTAGAAAGGAGTCTAGGAAGGGGAGAACAAATGGGTCAGGATTCCCTTTCCCGACTCTGTCTCCTCCCACCCCACGCTCCCCCTTCGACCCTCTCAGCCCTCAAACTCCCCAGGTCCCTGTCCTGGCATTCTCTGGCCATCTGGAACATTCGAGATGAGTTTGAAGCCCCCCCACTCCAGGGGACAATAAAAAAAGGCTCTTATCAAACATGTACCAAAGCCACTGCAAAAGAAATGCACAGCACACTATATTTATAAACTTTTCTCTTCAGTGTCAAATTCATTTAAAAGTGACCTTTGGTTCATGGGTTTTGTGTCTAGTGACTGAAACGCTAAATAATACATGTGTTTTCCAGCAAGCTGTGCAGAAAGCTTTATATTATTTTTTTTTGAAAGTGGTTATGGGCATCGGTGTAACTTGAAATCCCATCACAGAGGATTTCTAATGAAGTGAAATTGTGCTTTTCAGTAGGAAGACCAATAATTGACATACCACGGAGAACACGGGAGAAAGTTCCGGTGATGTGCACACATCATTAATCTCCTGAAATGACTCAGTGCAGTGCTATAATGGTAGCAGACAGCTGGGGGTTAGGAATCATCATGTTTGTTTGAATCGTATGGAATTAGATAAGAGATTTAAAGTGATCAAGTGTTATAAACAATCTGGGACTGTGGAGTGGAATAGAGAATCCAGGTATTTTTTAAAAAATTATTTAAAAAATTTATTAAATAAAATAATAAATAATAAATTTATTAAAATAAAAATTATTTTAAAATCTGGGTATTTTTTTTTCTTTTCTTTTTTTTTTTTTAATTTAAGGATATTATGAGGGTACGAATATTTTGGTTACATTTTATGACTTTGCCTCACCCAAGCGAGGGTTAGAGGCATGCCCTTCCCCCATACAATGCTTACCATGACCCTTAGTTGTGAATTTACTCCCCAATTCCCTAAACCCTGGAAAATATCACTACCCTGTGAGTGCCATAGTGTTGATCAGTTGGTGCTGATTTGATGTCGAGTACAAGTGGACCCTAATCCTCCGATCTTGTGATACCTCACTTCGGATAATGGGTCAAGCTCAGTCTAGGACATATAGGAGTGGCATCACTGTCATTTCTTTTTCTTTTCTTTTTTTTTTTTTTTTTGAGACGAGTCTCATTTGTGTGCCCAGACTATAAGTGAGTGCCATGGCGTGGCTGCCTAGCTCACAGCAACCTCAAACTCCTGGGCTCAAGCAATCCTCTTGCCTCAGCCTCCCGAGCAGCTGGGACTACAGGCATGTGCCACCATGCATGGGGCTAATTTTTATACATAGATTTTTAGTTGGTCAATTAATTTCTTTCTATTTTAGTAGAGACGCCGTCTCGCTCTTGCTCAGGCTGGTTTCGAACTCCTGACCTTGAGCAATCCACCTGCCTCGGCCTCCCAGAGTTGTCATTTCTTATAACTGAGTAATATTCCATTGTAAATGTATACCAAATTTTAATAATCCACTCATGAATTGACAGGCACTTGGGTTGTTTCCACACCCTTGCAATAGTGAATTGTGCTGCCATAAACATGGGTGGCAGATGTTTTTATTATAGCATGACTTTTGTTCCTTTGGGTAGATGCCTAATAGTGCTATTGCTGGATCGAATGAATGAAATGATATTTCTATTTTTAGCTCTTTGAGGTATGTCAAAATTCTATTCCACAGAGATTATATTAATTTGCAGTCCCACCAGCAGTGTAAAAGTGTTCCCATCTCTCCACATCCTCACCAGCATTTGTTGTTTTTGGATTTTTTTGATAGAGGCCAATCTCCCTGGGGTTAGGTGATATCTCATTGTGGTTTTGATTTGCATTTCTCTAATGATTAGAGATGTTGAACATTTTTGCATATATTTGCTGGCCATTATTCTGTCGTCTTTTGAAAAGTTTCTGTTCATGTCCTTTGCCCACTTATTAAGGAGGTTGTTTGATTTTTTTCTTGTTGATTATTTTAAGTTCTAGATAGATTCTTGTTATCAGCCCTTTATTGGGTGTGTAGAGAGCAAATATTTTCTCCCATCCTGTAGGCTGTCTATTTGCTCCAATGATAGTTTCCTTGGCTGTGCAGAAGCTTTTTAATTTGAGCAGCTCCCATTTATCTATCTTTTGTTGCTGCTGTGATTGCTTTGGGGGGTCTTCTTCAAAAATTCTTTGCCTAGCCCCAGGTATTTTTACATTTGCTTGCTACTGACTTCAGACACACCCATCTACAATGAGCTGCTTGCTCCTATAATGAAGAAGAAATAGCATTCTGTTTTCCTCATATCCAATCTAGCATTGAAAATAATTAGTGGAATTTCTATTTCTACATCGTCTTAAGGGTGCCTTTAAAAAGTGATATTCGAAGTTGGCGAGTCCAAGATGAGAAAGGCACCTCGTGCCCGGTGCACGGTGGCACGTGTCTCTGACTTTGCTCCTTGTCTGTCCCCTCTGTCCCGCAGTGCCTGCGGCAGATGGGCAAGCTCATGTCCGAGTGCTGGGCGCACAGCCCCGCGTCCAGGCTGACGGCCCTGCGCGTGAAGAAGACGCTTGCCAAGATGTCAGAGTCGCAGGACATCAAGCTCTGATGGCCGAGCCGAAGTGGGCGTCTCTGCACGTGGCCGACGGGCACCCTTCTGCCTGGGGGCGGAGCGCAGGTGTCAAAGGAGCATCCTCGGTGTGCCGGCCTTGGACACCGTCCTGCCACCCCGCGGGTGTGGCCCTCGCCTCTCAGGGAGCCACCAGGATAGTGACAGCCACGTTCCCGGAAGCACAGACTGACCCGCGTGGGTACCTTGTGCAAGATATAGGATGCATGTTGCTTTCTAAGAAAGCCCTGTATTTTGGGATTGCCTCTTTTTTTTTTTTTTTTAAAGATGCTTTAATTTTTGCCAAAATAAAACAAATAATGTGGGTGTTTTAAGGGTGATATTAGTATAGTTTAACTAAGGAACAACAAAGCTTCTTCCAGAAAGCTCCACTGGAAGGTAAATTAAAATAGGTGTTTTTTCCATTGGTAACAATGTCGTTACACTCTGCAAACCAAAAGCCAGTGGGTGGCGTTGGATTGGACTTCATCTTCTTAATAACACAACTCCAGCTCCCACCCCACGCCCTGGCTTCCTCAGACCCCTTCGGCCAGCCCAGCAATGTGAATAGAGCACCTGGGTACAACGCCACCTGTCTGGGACCACGTTTTGGTGGCCCGCAGGTGGCCTTTCGCAGCTTCAGACGACATGGAACAAATGAAGGTTTTATGTGACTCTAATAGAAGTGTGGATGGGTGTTGCTCAGAACCACTTCTGATTACGTTTAGGTGTTCGTTTTTATGGTAAAATTCCTCCCTTTTGATTAAACGCAAAGGCGTTTTTTCATGTGCAGAGAGTCGGGCCTGCGCATGCTTCTGAGCATCCCTCAAATCAAAGGCTCCATCTTAACTAAAATTGCCATGATTTGCGTTGCAGACAAAAGTGCTTTAAAATAGAGATCACTTGCTCTAGTGTTAGAAGAAGGTGTCAAAGTGACAAGCACAGGGGAGGGGGGCGAGGGGGGAGAGGTTTGTTGCTTATATATGCAAAGGAGCCAATCTCAAAAGCACAAGGGAAAAAAGTACATCTACCTTATTTTATAGAGAGAAGGATAGTTTGCTTTTGTTACTCTTTTTAGTGTGTCAGAGGTAAAAGATTAGAGAGGAGGCATCCGTCAAGTTAATTTAAATTTTCTTTTAAAAATAGGCAAGTGTAACCTACAGAGGGGACAGCGGAGAGATTCAGTGGAAACCACAAAATATAGTGGCAGCTGTGACTTATTATTCTAGAATACATAGAGATGGAGGATGTATGTGTTCAGTGACCATTTCCCACCGAAGGCATGCTGACTCATTTTTATCCTCGTGCTGTTCAAGTCACTGTTTAATTTATTAATTTTTCTTTCCTGTAGCACTTGTGCAAAACATCTCTTTACCTACTTAGCTTTCCAGGGTTTTAGCTGTGGAGCAACATGGGTACAATCATCGACAGGGCTGGTATTCCTTAGCAGTACAAGTATAGTGAAGTTTCCAGTCGCACACATGCCTCTCAACTCGATTCATGTACATTTCCTTATTGTGGTTTTTTTTTTTTGCTGCTTAGAAATTCCATGGTGGTCAGGAAAGAATTTGGAAGTACTTTCCCCATGAAATTAAAAAAAAAAAAAAAAAAAAAAAGACATTCCTTCCAAAATCCTCCAGGGGGCAGTGTTTTATAGCGCATTTTCACCACTGGTGCGTGGGTGACTGAAGGATGGAGGATTCTGGAAAATTTGACAGCTGCATGAGGAAAAGAGAAAATACTTTCCTCATTTCTGGAGTGGGCTTGCAGCTGGTGGACTCGTTCATCCAGAAAACATCCCAAAGCACCTGTGTTTGTGAGCTGTGCTCACAGTTTGGGGGAATTATTAAGGAGAGACACAGCATTCTACATTTTGCATTCTGTCCCCAATGCTTCATAGTCCCATAAGCCATAGGGAGGAATTTCTTAATCCTTGAGTTTGAAAAAAATTTTGTGTTTTTCTTAAAAGAGTAAAACAGTTGGTTCTAAATATAATTGTAATCGGAATGCTGCTTTGATCGATGTTAACATAACCTCAATAGCAGTGTTTCAATGTTCCTTTCTCTTGTGTCAAATTCTATTGTTTGTGATAGTTTAGAAGTAATATGTAGCTAGAACTTTCATCATCTGAGCCTTGGAGAGCAACTGCAGTGCCTACAAACAGACCCTCTGCAAACAAATAAGTAAGTAGTTATGCCAGTTAAGTGAGGACACATTTGTGTTTTTTGAGTTTTTCCTAAATTTAAGTGAGGTTGGGTTTACCTCTTAGCTACAATTGTGTTTTCTTTTTGGTAAATACTTGAACTTCAAATCAGAATATTTGGTGCAGAAGTGATGATTTTAAAAAGTAAACTAGATTCCTAAGGAGGTGTGGATTCCAATGAAGAATGGGAGGAAATTAAAAATAGTATTCAAATTTCTTCTATATTATTTGGTTGCTTTGGCAAAAATCATTAGCTTGCTTTCTAATCCCTGACCTGACTTATTCACTATGAATATTTTTAAAAGTATTTCTGAGATACTTAACAAGACCCATTTAGCTATTATAGTTTCTCGATGAGACAAGAATTTAATTAGGAATAGATTTTTCTCTCTCTGTTTTCCCAAAATCCACTTTACTTAGAGAATACTAAATTGTTCTTAAAGACTACCTATTCATTTCCCAGTAATCCTTTATCGTCTTAAAATGTCTAGCAGCTCAGAGGTGAGTTTTGTTTTATCTTTATGTTTTTATCTTTTACTCAAATAAGCGAGAACCTGGAAATTAATAATGTAGTTGCCAGCTTACTTTCAGGACGATTTCAAAGGCTAAGATTTTCTTCTAACCCCTCCCCTGCAAAGGGAATCCTAAATTATTAGTTGTTTAGATACGTTTTGTATGCTGAGATGTTCAGGTTTATAGTTTATGTGTGTATATATTATATAAATATGTATATATAAATATTATGTTCAGTTTGGAGTCTGGGTCAACTCCATTATGTGGATTAGAGAGTAAAATATTATGGATGATAAAAGTACTAAATGAAGCATAATATTTATTTATAAAAGAGTGTAGACTGTTAAATTACAAGTAAAGCGCTATGAACAGTATGTATGCAGAGAGACAGGCTTTTGACCTCCTGGAAAACACCCTCAAAATCACTAGTGACAATTTTTGAACTCCCCAAACAGAAAGCTTCTTAGAAAACATGCTGGGATTTTTATCTCTGAGGCATTTTTGGGCACATTTCAATTGGTGTGTAATCAAGGATAGCAAGTACTTAATAATGCCCGAATTTCATGTTGCTACAGTCATGCATGTTCATAAGGAGTCTTATGTTATTGGTCTGTTCTGGTTTGCTTTGTTTGTGGGTGGAAAAGCACTGAGAAAAGTCTAATTTTTTCAAACTTGAACATGTTTAGTAGTTCTATCTGCTTAGCAAACCGAGTCACGTAGCAGTGGGAATGAAAGAGACGGCATCAGCAGTGATTTCATTTAGCAGTTATGATTCCTCTTGTGTAAAACAAAATGAAACAAACAAACAAAAAAACACAACGCTGTATTTTTTTTTTGGAGAAAAAGTTGGCAATCTCCAGGGGTTTTGTTGTCTGTTTTCAAAAGAAGACTCATTTGTGTTCTTTCTGGGAAACCAGTGCCTTACAGAATCTGTATATACTGTAATTATTCAGGACTAGGGAACAAACAGTTGTATTTGTTACAAATTGTATATGGCTTTTGTTTTAACATTCCCCTAAATAAAATGGTTTCATTCTCCTGTTGGAAAAAAAAAAAAACCATGACTCTTACTTTATAGTTGTGCCTTTTTTTTTTTTTTTTTTGGTCTCTGAAAGTTTCACATTGTCACAGGCAAGGGGGGTCCCCAACGGAGGCAGATGCAGGTAAGTTTGTACATTTTGTGGCAGAAGTGGGAGACCCGTGGTCTGATGGCTTCTGTCCTCTGTGTGATCAGGAAGCACAGTCTTCTACAGAGAGCGAGGGGGGAAGGGCAGGGGGGGTCAGTGTCTGGGGGACGTGGAGGGGTCACAATTGCACTGTGGCAAGTGACAGCTTCCTGGGGCAGGACAGCCAGGTGGTGACGGGCAGTGCCCGGGGCTGGGTTAGGTTGCAGATGCTAACGGTGGTGGCCCGGGTGTCCCCAGCCTTACTCGCTCCTTCCTGTTGTGTGAGTAGCAAGCTTTGACCTTCACCTCGGTTTCTTGTCCTTTAAGGTGAGAATAACAGTAATATCTACAGCCCAGACTTGTTTTGAAGACGGGGTCATCCATGCACAAGCACGCGGTAAGCACCCAGCTGTTCCCATTAGCTGTCACTACAAATGCACAGTGCCACCGTTCTGTGTGGCCCGTGACTTTATTTTTCCATCATCAACAGTTGGATCCATGCAGGGCTGGGGGTTGATCAGTTACACGCAGCTACCAGGTCCCGGAACGTGAGAAGTATGTCACCAATGGGTTGGTCGCCCCGGGTCTGAGTAGGGATGGAACGAAATCGAGGTGGCAGGTTATAACAGGCCCCAGAAATCTAGTCCAGGGACAAGGAGCCCTGGAGGGGTTGAGGGGCTGGGGACAGGCAGGGGGGATTCTGGTCACAGAATGGCATGGGTGCAGCTATCGGACAAGATCCTGGGCCGTGAAAGAGGAACCCCAAAGCCAGGCCCTTGGACTTGGGGTGCTGGGTGTGGAAGGGTGAGGTTCTTGCTGCTGCCTCTGCCGGGGGAGTAGAAAACCCCCTCCCAAGGGAGATGGAAAGTTCTAGCATCGTTTTTCCATTATCGTGAGCCCCAGAGGGCAGGGTGGGGAGCTTGGCTCTGATCTGTTGGAAATTGGACCAGGACCAAGGAGGCCCAGAACTGTCTAGGTTTGCACCGTAGACGGTTTCCAGGCACAGAAGGGTCCGCGCGTGGCTGGCGCTGGCCTGGCCGCGTGTAGCGGGTGGCCCTGGGGACAGTTGCATGCCAGAGCCGGGATTCGGCCTGACGCGGCTCAGATCCCAGAGATCCTCACTTTTCAGTTCTTTAAAAGGACAGCGTCTCCCAGCCCCGATCTTCTCCCCTGCAAACTGGGATAACAATACCCACCTCTCGGGGCTCTTACGAGGGACAGATGGGATGAATGTGTGACATAATGGTGGCACCACGCCAGGTGTGTGGCAGTTGCTCATGCATGCGGCTTTATCCTACTGGCCCATGTCAGTTTCACAGGATACACAACTGGCGACGTTTAAAACCAGCAGAGGTTTGCTCTCAGTCCGCCTCTCTGCACCCCACCCTGGGCGCTGTGGGCTCAAGCCAGACTTTTCACAGGACCTAAAGGCAACTGGGAAGTAAGTCCAGTTGAGGAAAGCGGTTTCTTCTCTCCATTTAGACCATTTTATACATTGCAAGCTTGGTGGTTCCGCCCGGTCGCAGCAGAAAAGCACAGACGTCGCCACTTGGAGCAAAACTCTTGTCTCTGCAAAGTATTTCCCACCCCAGGTTCTGCTAGGAGCCCAGCAGGTGGGAGCTCTGGGACAGAGGGATGGACGGGGACTGAGGGAGGCCGGTTGTCAGAGCCCTGCAGTGACCTCAGCTCCCAGACAGGGTCCCAGGCCAGGTTCCAGCTGGCATGTCCTCATGACTTCCTTCACCCTGGACAAGCACTGGGTTTGTGATCCCAGCATCAGATCAGTTTTAAGTCACCACCTCCCAGCTCATGGGAGGGGCTGGTTTCTCAGTGCTGGCGCCATTGCTCTCTGGCTCACTAGGCTGGGAGCAGGGGTGGGGCCGCTTGTGGCCCATATAAGGACACCTTCCCAGGGAGGATGGGCAGCCTTTGCTCTCACTGTCCCCTTGTCCCCTGCAGCCTCCCCGTTGCTTGCCCTAAGGGACTGGCCAGAGGTTCTGTGCCAAGCTGAACCCCTCTCCTGTTTACTGTAGCTCTAGCCTGTGTCATAGGGCTCACCGTTCATGTCACCTACCTACTAGTGTCATTATTTGCAGACTCCATTTAAAACCGGATCTCCGAGGGTAGGGCCTTGACACTCTTCATTTACAACGCCCTGTCCCCACCCCAGGAACTGTGACTGCAGTCCCCAGTTCTCGGGGCAAGGCCTGGTGGGGACCCGTCCCGGGCCTGTTAGGGACCAGGCCATGCATCACTGCCCTCCAGCCCCAGTGGAAAAACTGTCTTCCATGAAACTCAGGAACTGGGCCACACAGCAGCCGGTGAGCAAGCACAGTTTCATCTGTATTTACAGCCGCTCCTCATGCTCGCATCACTCCCTCCCACCCCCCAATTTGTGAATTTCTCCCTGGTGCCAAAAAGGCTGGGGACCGCTGCCTGTGACACTGGTTCTCGCCCTAAACTGCTAAGTGGTGTCACGTGGGAGCTTTAAAAACTCAATGCTCAGGATCTACCCAGACGAATCAAATCAGAATCTCTGGAGGGTGGGACCCAGGCACTCTTATTTATTTAACCCTTTGCACTTGCTTGCTTTTTTTCTCTCGATTCCTTTATTCTACTTGGGATTTAATTTCTGAAATAGCCCAGAATAATAAATAACTGGAGTTTCTTTTCATCCAAACTTATTTATTTGGATTATTTTTATATTTCAAATTATGGATATATTCAAAGAGTAATTTTCATCTCTAATTTTTAATGGTGTGAGCTGCTATTGATGCTGGCCTTGTCGAGTCACACTCGACATCCCAGTGCAAAGGGTTGAAGCTCCCGGGCGTGGGTGGACCGATTCAGAGCCTCATCTTGTGACCCGGGAAGGTTGTCATTGCCATCGGGACGGGCCCCAGAGGATCTGTGCCCTAACCGAAGGACGCCCTGGTGACTCTGGGTGGGTAAAGAATTGAGGAGAAGTAGCACTCTTCTGTTGCTTATAAATATAATTTATTACCTGTTTAAAAATTCTTTCTTACATTTTGTACATGTTGGCCGACAGAATAAACGCAGGCAATTTTACAAACCCAAGGGGACTGCAGGAAAAATCGGGATTGGCAGCCGGGGACAGAAAAGAGGCACACCCAGCACTGGTGGCCCTGGCCACCAAGCGGCAAAGCGGTGACAGGCGGAGTGTCCCCAGGGCACCCCTCCGCCAGGGATTTTTTTTTTTTTTTTTTTTTTTAGAAAAGGAATTGCATAGAAGATACAGCAAGAGGGAAGTCCACAACAACGAAAAAGAAGTGTTCCATATCAGAAAAGCCAAGGATGTTGTGTGTGGAGTTTTGTTTAAAAAAGAGAGAGAAAAAAAAATGACAGAACACAAAACCTCAATGCGACCTTCCTGCGGCGGGAGGGGACAGCAGGGGAATGACACGGCCACTTCCACACACACTGGTCATCTTCTTTGGGAGGAGGAAAGGGGAAGGTCACCCACGTGCTACAGCCCAACTTTAAACTCAATACATACGACAGTGACATCCGGCACACACACGGCGATGACACTCCCTGCAGTCGGGCTCAACGCCCTCTGCCCGGGGGGATGAATTGAGGACATGGGCAAGAGCGCAGTGGTTCTGATTGCTGTCATTTTTCTTCTCCATGGCCCGGAGGAAGCATGCATATGACCTTTCACCTCTGTTCACAGGTATCCCTAATGACTTTAAGAACATGAAAGGCAAAGGCATTTTCCACTAGCTGTAGATTTCTCGCTCTTTCCCTCTGCTCGGATTGGGTTTGTTTTATCATTTAGGACATAGCTCCGGTCACGATCCTCTGCCCTGGCCTCCCTTACCCCGCTGATGATGGGAAAGAAAGCGCCCGTCAACCCTGAGGCCACCAATCTGCAGAAGCTGCCTGCAGCTCACCTTCTAGACTCTGGCACTGAGGCTCACTCCACCCCGGGGCGGTGCCACCTGGTCCAACCTCAGGTATGACAGCGCCTAGTCCAGTAGACCTTTGCATTTTAAAAATGACACCAAACCCAGGCTTATTTGTAAGTGTCGTGACCTGCAACGTATAATTTTGCAAAAGCCACACCTGCAATGGCACATTAAAAGGCAGGTGTGCGGTAGCACGCAGTACGGCTGGGGTACAGCTACTTTGGGGCAGCGTCTTTGCTTTCCCCTCAGCTAGTTGGCCACGACTCCCATGATATTTCACAGGGATTGCCACCTTGGGGTTCGGGAAGGTCTCAGAACAAATCCCTTCTGTATACAAGAGCATGAGTGTCCAGAGAGCTGGGAAATAATAGCCTTGCATAATTGCTTGGCTTTGTGGACTAATACATTTGTGGGGTACCTGTCTGTCTGTCCTGCTGATGTCTCCTTGACCATGCTGAAGTAGGTCTGGGGTATATGTTATGTTCGGTTGAATGAGCCTATTAATAAGTCAATACAGGGAGGTGACAAATCAATACAGGTCTACTGGAAAATCTGGGAGCTATCAACTCTTTCGAAGACAGACTGTTAAAGTGGCATTTGTGAAAATGGGGACAACCATGAGGCTGGTAAGACGAAAGCTTCAGGAAGTTCATCGCTAGACTAAGTCTGTAGAGAAAACCCACCCAGCGGCGTACAAAGCCATCTCCCCACTGTTCAAAAATAGGTTTTTAAGCTAGCATTCTGGAAATATTTATGACTTCATTTGGCTTACTTGGGCATGGACATGGGCTTAAATAAACATTGGTTACAATATATTTATTCCCCTTATGCCTTATTTCATTAGAAAAAAATCATCAGAGATGCAAGGAAAATCGTTCGAAGTGATCATTACAGCCATAGATTATATAAATAGATCTCTTAGGGGAGAGAAACAGTACTTTGTTACACAGAGGCAAAAGTTCTAAGGATTTCAGTCAACGTTAGCTCAGCAAGGTTAAAAAAATATATAAAAATAATACAAAAACGAAAACAAAAAAAAAATCAAAGGATAATAGTTGGTCCCACGAGGCACTCTTGAAAGGTAAGAAAACATTTTTGTTAACTTGAGATCATCAATAATAAAAATATTCTTCCTTATTAGATCTATAAAACGTAAATGCTCTTTGCCCATCAGCATCTTGAGAAATAATAGGCTTTGAGCAACGATGTTCTGATTTACAGAAGCCCCCCTTTTCTTTAAGAGGACGGGCAAGACCCGATTTCATTCCAGCTGTGTTGCCATGGCCCTCCTTTCTCCAGTTAGCCTTGGACTTGCACTGACGTCTCCCAGTGAAACCGACGACTTGTGCAGAACAACTGATCAGCAAAAGCTACAACCCACATTCAACCTGAAGACCTAAAGACCCAACAAGTCAACTTTTTCTGCCATCTTTACACTCTCTTGCAAGTCTTAATATGGTGTTATATTTGCATGGCTTCATAGGGACAGACCGTCTTAGAGGCAAAGCCCTGTGAGGTCGGGGCAGATGGGGACCAGCTATTGACTCCCTTCTGTATACGTTGATTACAGAGCAGTAAACGGACCAAGAGCACAGCGGCGGTGTCCCCAACAGAGACACACAGAAGGACACATGAGATGAGCCTAGTTTGCTCTTAAGAAGTGAAAAGTCTTAATTCCACATTGACGTTGAAGATACCTTATTTATAGTAGAAATACCTTTAAGAAACAAACAAAAAGTACCAAATGCGCGGTTTCTAGAGTGTCCTGGACTCAGTCTCCAGGACTTTGTCCTAAAAGTGGCTCCTACTTTTTGATAGTTGAGAGATTAAAATCTATAAAATGATGGCGTCTATGAAAATGGCTAATAATGATGCAATTTGGTACTGAACATCTCACCCCCCCCCCAAAATTGTCCTGCCCTTGAAGAACTGACATGGCTCATCTGTGAGGATGAGGGTTTTCTGGGTACCAGAGGGGAGCATCTGCTTTGGAAGATGGTGTTTGTGCCTGTCATCTCGTCCGAATCCAACTTCTATTCCGTCAGAGCCCACTAACGACGTCTGAATGAGTGTGGGAAGAAGAAAATGACACAGAGATTAAACCTCTGCCTTTGAATTCCCACATACAAAAAAAAACCAAGCTGCTTCCTTCTCCTTGATCATAGTATTTCCATTTGCACATAGAAGACATCTTTTTCTAAGCAGATACGTCTTGTATTTCCGAAGACAAATATTAAGGAACTAAAAAGTGAGGAGATTTAAAAATTACCCAATGAAAACCATAAATGTTAAAAATGTTAAAAAATTCCAAAGACTGTTTTATACAGCTTTTTTTTTTTTAACCTATTGCTATTACAAGAAAGCAACTGAAGACATGCATGCACGAGCTGACATACCCTGGGGCTAGGCTTAGAATGCCATGGAATTGTGAGATGTGTGATTGGAGTGAAAAAAAAAATGTGAGAATAAGAAAAGAGACATTCGAACTGAAAATGTCCACACATCTATTTGTCACAAAAGGTCCCATCGAACTCTGCAACTTTTAGTGTTTTTGTATTAAACTCAGGGTAGATTGTGTGGCGCACCACTAGATGGCGCCATGCACAAATGATTGGTTTTTTCCCAACCCAGCTGGAGTAAGACGCAAGGTGGCAGGACACAGCCCATAGCATGGCTGATGAAGTGGCTCCCTGTGACATGATCTGTTGCATCCAGACCTGGTAAATTTGAGAGCAATCTAACAGCTATCACTCTGCTCCAAAGGAGATCAGAATGTGTAGTGGAACTCGACATCAGTAGTGTCGTGTACGAACATAAGCTGTCACTTACTGGATAGGAAACAAGGTCTGTGACAGGTGAGCACCTCACTGACAGGACAGCAGTCGCTCTTCCCTCTCTGGAGATGGGGTGGGCTGGAGCAAAAAACAAGCATGTGAAGTGAACCCCCAGGGCCCCCAATAATCCAGCCTCTGTCACACTCAGGATTTCTGCATTGGCGAATTTTTTCGGTCAAAGTTTTTGGTGCCAGTTCTGGGATGGATTCACCTGAATAGTTGCATAGTGGCTCCCTCTAGTTCTCACCAGGCACAGGGAGCCTCTGAGCATTCAGTTCAGACTTCCTAGCTCTTGATTTCCATAGAAGATTCCACAGCCCCAGTACTGAGGAGTGATCTTGACAAGTTTATTTTGAGATGCACCAACTGGACAATAGCTCTCTGAGTTCCTCCTCCTTTTAAAAATATATATATATGTTTGATTTTTAATTGAGAATACAATTTTACTCATTGGTACAGACATTATCCACTGAACTTTTTATTAGTACAATCTCTCCCTTCCGCTATCAGTGTAAAAATTTTTTTAAATATGGAAATCCTAATGCCAGGGGGTGGCCTGGGAGAGAGATTATCGAATATATGTCTAAAAGAGAAGAAATAAAAGGTAGGAGAAAAGAGACTCCATGACAAGGTATTAGTTCCTCAAATGGGAGGAGTCTGTGAATATCAAGAAATCACCAAAATACAGGAGGAAATTTATGTGGGAAGACAGGAGAAAGTGTATAAATGATTTGTAATTCAAATCTAGTCCATGACCTGGATAGCTCCAGCCATGTCCGTGCTTGTGGTTCAATTCTGGTTTGGCTACTGGGCCATGGCCCCCTCTCGATCCCCAACCTGCTGAGTGAATCCAGCCCTTGTGTTCAAAGAGCCTCTGATGATCCCAAGGAAATGTCACAGTTCATACAAAGTAGTCTGTTGACTAACATTTTGCAGGCTAAAAAATTTTTAAAGGGCTAATGAAATAACCGTTGTAAATGCTACTGAGTATGATGGAAGCAGAGATTAAAGGGGGAGGGAAAAAATGCACCAAGTTACTACTGGTGGATGAACTTATAGGCGTGGTCTTGACATCAACAGACCAAAATAGAATTTGCAGTTAGGAAGGCTGGGGAGTCCCAAAAAGAGGGGACAAGAAAATGACAATAAAAGGATACCATCACTCTGTGAGCAGCATAATGCAACGATGCAAAGACAAGACTTCAGCCGAACAAATACACTGCAGTTAGAATAAATACCTTTCCACTAGGAATGCTTGGAAACACACATTGTAGCATGGGCAAGACACTAGTAACTATCTAAATGTCCCAGGTGGGATTTCATTGTGACCTGCAGACTGATGAGACTGGACACGTCACAGCGGAAGCTGAGCATTTGAGAACCATGAGATGATCTGATCCCTTTTCTAGGTGAGAAAACTGAGGTGTCCAGTAAAAGTTGGTTAAATGGCTCTCCCAACGGGTGGCACAGCCAGACAGCGACAAACCCAGAATGAGAACTGGTTCCCTGATCTCCACTTCAGAGTCGGTTCCTACAACCGCACGGTCTCTAAAGTGACAGCCCACCCCAAGGAGTCCACGTGGGCCACACTAGTAAGTGAACTTCCTAGAGAACGTGGCCCATGAAATGACGCAGAGGGGAAGGAAGCTGCTAGAATAGACACACAAAGCCACGAAGCATTTGCTACCCTCCCAGGGCAGAATGGGGCAAGAAAGGTAACAGGTCCAGGAACCGATGCCTGTGGAATTAAACTGGTGACCACACCTACCTAGCTATGTGACAAGGTGAGGCGGGTCTAGTCAGTACCCAAATCCTAGCAATACTGCCAACAGAAACAGAAGTGAAAAGAAAATCCTTTTACTAGAATACTTGTAAATACCCATCGATAATAATAAGAATACTTGTTGGAAAAAAAAACAAAAACACTTCAAATTGCGTATCACAAACACACACATTGTGAAGAAATGCTCGTTTGTGTGGTTGAACATGAATTAATCGCTGTCTTCCCTGCAATTGCTACAGCTTTATTCCTGGAAGGCCCCAGAAGGTTCCCTCCAAGGCTCAGGAGTCTTTGTTATGAGTCTCCACTTCCCTGATTACAAAAACAGTAACACTGGTGCTACACGTTCTAGAAGCAAGACACCGACGGACGATCCGAGACACTTGCCGTGCACGATCGGTAGCAGAAGTCTGCGATTTCTCTGCAAGTGGCTAATCTGGAATAGACACGCTAGACCGTCCACAGCTTCAAACGATCTGAACAAAAAATAGAAGGAGCCATGGACAGCGTCTGCAAATCCCTGTCCGGTTTGATGTAAACAACATTTGTAGAAATCGGGTTGGTTAAGAAAGTTTATCCACATATCTGGATAGCAATAAAAACCGTTTCCTAGGAAACTGTAAGATCCTGTACCCCCCAGCATCCAGCCCAAGAAAGAGGGAAAAAAGTAGGTTGGGATCTAAATTCAAGGTACAAATTTACACAATTTTGCTCAACTCCAAGGGCATGGGGTGGGGGGAAGGTCGCAGCTGTTTGCCTTCTGTCTCCTGCTGTGATCTTGCTCGTGAAGCTCATTGGTCTGGTCCGGACTCATCCTCAGCTGTGAGTCCCCTGCATGCGTGTGTCCTCAGTTCCAGAGGGGTCAGTACTGGCCTTCTGCTGCTAAAGACACCACCGTTTCATGTCTTCCCATTTCCTCCAAGACGGTCGCCAGCATGCTCAGGTTTCCATCTGGGAAGTTCTGTGCCTCCCAGAGGTCCAGGATGACGCCAGTCGGGCTGGATTTGGTGGCGAAGTAATTCAAGTACCTGTAACCGGGTGCACAGTGGCTTGACTTATACATCCATTTTTCTCTCTCATTTGGCCTCAGCCAAACCCTCCCCCCATCTCTCCACTTGTCCTTAGGTCTCTGGACCCGGTGTGGTTGGACAGCGAGCCGCCCTAAAGAACTAGCCAAGATGTAATTAGATCAGCCCCAGCGAAGAGACATGAGGTTTAACTTTGTTAACCTCAACTCTGAGTAAGATCATTTAAGAGACAGGATGTCTAGGGGTCATATCCGAAACAGGAAACCGAGAGACTTGTGTTTTCTCTCCAGCCCAGGCCCTGATGATCTTTGACAGGTCGCGCCATGGCTTTTGCTGGGCAGGGGAGGTGACATTTTCTACAAAGCATAGGCTCTGGAGGTCTCTTTAGAACTGAATATCCACGGCATGTTAATTACTCCTCAATTGCAGATGAGGAACAATAATTACTTTAGTGAACGGATGTATTATTCAGGGAGACCTAGCCCATTAGCTTTGCAAAGTGGATCACAAAATGTGATACTTACAAATGTCAGATGAGCCCAGAGTGGCTCTTAGCGCCGTGCGTGCAAGCCCATATAGCAAATCATGGAAAGGGAGGAGCATGACATTAATACATATTTGTGGTATGGAAAATAAATAGAGGTGCGGGGTGGAAAACAGTGAATGCTCCCCTACTACGTCTAACGATGATCCGTCCCGGAACCTGGCCGCACCCACCTGTCCAGGTTGAGCTTGTGGGCCAGCATCCTCCAGTCGTGGCCTCGGGTCTGGGGGGCGTCCAGGCTGCTGCAGAGCTTTTGCCGGATGGGGAGAGGAATGCTGAAAGCACTCGGCCCGGTGACCGTCGTGATGGTGCTCTTCTATTCCGTCAGAGCCCACTAACGACGTCTGAATGAGTGTGGGAAGAAGAAAATGACACAGAGATTAAACCTCTGCCTTTGAATTCCCACATACAAAAAAAAACCAAGCTGCTTCCTTCTCCTTGATCATAGTATTTCCATTTGCACATAGAAGACATCTCTTTCTAAGCAGATACGTCTTATATTTCCAAAGACAAATATTAAGGAACTAAAAAGTGAGGAGATTTAAAATTTACCCAATGAAAACCATAAATGTTAAAAATGTTAAAAAATTCCAAAGACTGTTTTATACAGCTTTTTTTTTTTTAACCTATTGCTATTACAAGAAAGCAACTGAAGACATGCATGCACGAGCTGACATACCCTGGGGCTAGGCTTAGAATGCCATGGAATTGTGAGATGTGTGATTGGAGTGAAAAAAAAAATGTGAGAATAAGAAAAGAGACATTCGAACTGAAAATGTCCACACATCTATTTGTCACAAAAGGTCCCATCGAACTCTGCAACTTTTAGTGTTTTTGTATTAAACTCAGGGTAGATTGTGTGGCGCACCACTAGATGGCGCCATGCACAAATGATTGGTTTTTTTCCCAACCCAGCTGGAGTAAGACGCAAGGTGGCAGGACACAGCCCATAGCATGGCTGATGAAGTGGCTCCCTGTGACATGATCTGTTGCATCCGGACCTGGTAAATTTGAGAGCAATCTAACAGCTATCACTCTGCTCCAAAGGAGATCAGAATGTGTAGTGGAAATCGACATCAGTAGTGTCATGTACGAACATAAGCTGTCACTTACTGGATAGGAAACAAGGTCTGTGACAGGTGAGCACCTCACTGACAGGACAGCAGTCGCTCTTCCCTCTCTGGAGATGGGGTGGGCTGGAGCAAAAAACAAGCATGTGAAGTGAACCCCCAGGGCCCCCAATAATCCAGCCTCTGTCACACTCAGGATTTCTGCATTGGCGAATTTTTTTGGTCAAAGTTTTTGGTGCCAGTTCTGGGATGGATTCACCTGAATAGTTGCATAGTGGCTCCCTCTAGTTCTCACCGGGCACAGGGAGCCTCTGAGCATTCAGTTCAGACTTCCTAGCTCTTGATTTCCATAGAAGATTCCACAGCCCCAGTACTGAGGAGTGATCTTGACAAGTTTATTTTGAGATGCACCAACAGACAATAGCTCTCTGAGTTCCTCCTCCTTTTAAAAAAATATATATATGTTTGATTTTTAATTGAGAATACAATTTTACTCATTGGTACAGACATTATCCACTGAACTTTTTATTAGTACAATCTCTCCCTTCCGCTATCAGTGTAAAAATTTTTTAAATATGGAAATCCTAATGCCAGGGGGTGGCCTGGGAGAGAGATTATCAAATATATGTCTAAAAGAGAAGAAATAAAAGGTAGGAGAAAAGAGGCTCCATGACAAGGTATTAGTTCCTCAAATGGGAGGAGTCTGTGAATATCAAGAAATCACCAAAATACAGGAGGAAATTTATGTGGGAAGATAGGAGAAAGTGTATAAATGATTTGTAATTCAAATCTAGTCCACGATATCTCCAGCCATGTCCGTGCTTGTGGTTCAATTCTGGTTTGGCTACTGGGCCATGGCCCCCTCTCGATCCCCAGCCTGCTGAGTGAATCCAGCCCTTGTGTTCAAAGAGCCTCTGATGATCCCAAGGAAATGTCACAGTTCATACAAAGTAGTCTGTTGACTAACATTTTGCAGGCTAAAAAATTTTTAAAGGGCTAATGAAATAACCTTTGTAAATGCTACTGAGTATGATGGAAGCAGAGATTAAAGGGGGAGGGAAAAAATGCACCAAGTTACTACTGGTGGATGAACTTATAGGCGTGGTCTTGACATCAACAGACCAAAATAGAATTTGCAGTTAGGAAGGCTGGGGAGTCCCAAGAAGAGGGGACAAGAAAATGACAATAAAGGGATACCATCACTCTGAGAGCAGCATAATGCTACGATGCAAAGACAAGACTTCAGCCGAACAAATACACTGCAGTTAGAATAAATACCTTTCCACTAGGAATGCTTGGAAACACACATTGTAGCCTGGGCAAGACACTAGTAACTATCTAAATGTCCCAGGTGGGATTTCACTGTGACCTGCAGACTGATGAGACTGGACACGTCACAGCGGAAGCTGAGCATTTGAGAACCGTGAGATGATCTGATCCCTTTTCTAGGTGAGAAAACTGAGGTGTCCAGTAAAAGTTGGTTAAATGGCTCTCCCAACGGGTGGCACAGCCAGACAGCGACAAACCCAGAATGAGAACTGGTTCCCTGATCTCCACTTCAGAGTTGGTTCCTACAACCGCACGGTCTCTAAAGTGGACAGCCCACCCCAAGGAGTCCACGTGGGCCACACTAGTAAGTGAACTTCCTAGAGAACGTGGCCCATGAAATGACGCAGAGGGGAAGGAAGCTGCTAGAATAGACACACAAAGCCACGAAGCATTTGCTACCCTCCCAGGGCAGAATGGGGCAAGAAAGGTAACAGGAACCGATGCCTGTGGAATTAAACTGGTGACCACACCTACCTCCCTATGTGACAAAGTGAGGCGAGTCCAGTCAGTACCCAAATACTAGCAATACTGCCAACAGAAACAGAAGTTAAAAGAAAATCCTTTTACTAGAATACTTGTAAATACCCATCGATAATAATAAGAATACTTGTTGGAAAAAAAAACAAAAACACTTCAAATTGCGTATCACAAACACACACATTGTGAAGAAATGCTCGTTTGTGTGGTTGAACATGAATTAATCGCTGTCTTCCCTGCAATTGCTACAGCTTTATTCCTGGAAGGCCCCAGAAGGTTCCCTCCAAGGCTCAGGAGTCTTTGTTATGATTCTCCACTTCCCTGATTACAAAAACAGTAACACTGGTGCTACACGTTCTAGAAGCAAGACACCGATGGACGATCCGAGACACTTGCCGTGCACGATCGGTAGCAGAAGTCTGCGATTTCTCTGCAAGTGGCTAATCTGGAATAGACACGCTAGACCGTCCACAGCTTCAAACGATCTGAACAAAAAATAGAAGGAGCCATGGACAGCGTCTGCAAATCCCTGTCCGGTTTGATGTAAACAACATTTGTAGAAATCGGGTTGGTTAAGAAAGTTTATCCACATATCTGGATAGCAATAAAAACCGTTTCCTAGGAAACTGTAAGATCCTGTACCCCCCAGCATCCAGCCCAAGAAAGAGGGGAAAAAGTAGGTTGGGATCTAAATTCAAGGTACAAATTTACACAATTTTGCTCAACTCCAAGGGCATGGGGTGGGGGGAAGGTCGGAGCTGTTTGCCTTCTGTCTCCTGCTGTGATCTTGCTCGTGAAGCTCATTGGTCTGGTCCGGACTCATCCTCAGCTGTGAGTCCCCTGCATGCGTGTGTCCTCAGTTCCAGAGGGGTCAGTACTGGCCTTCTGCTGCTAAAGACACCACCGTTTCATGTCTTCCCATTTCCTCCAAGACGGTCGCCAGCATGCTCAGGTTTCCATCTGGGAAGTTCTGTGCCTCCCAGAGGTCCAGGATGACGCCAGTCGGGCTGGATTTGGTGGCGAAGTAATTCAAGTACCTGTAACCGGGTGCACAGTGGCTTGACTTATACATCCATTTTTCTCTCTCATTTGGCCTCAGCCAAACCCTCCCCCCATCTCTCCACTTGTCCTTAGGTCTCTGGACCCGGTGTGGTTGGACAGTGAGCCGCCCTAAAGAACTAGCCGAGATGTAATTAGATCAGCCCCAGCGAAGAGACATGAGGTTTAACTTTGTTAACCTCAACTCTGAGTAAGATCATTTAAGAGACAGGATGTCTAGGGGTCATATCCGAAACAGGAAACCGAGAGACTTGTGTTTTCTCTCCAGCCCAGGCCCTGATGATCTTTGACAGGTCGCGCCATGGCTTTTGCTGGGCAGGGGAGGTGACATTTTCTACAAAGCATAGGCTCTGGAGGTCTCTTTAGAACTGAATATCCACGGCATGTTAATTACTCCTCAATTGCAGATGAGGAACAATAATTACTTTAGTGAACGGATGTATTATTCAGGGAGACCTAGCCCATTAGCTTTGCAAAGTGGATCACAAAATGTGATACTTACAAATGTCAGATGAGCCCAGAGTGGCTCTTAGTGCCGTGCGTGCAAGCCCATATAGCAAATCATGGAAAGGGAGGAGCATGACATTAATACATATTTGTGGTATGGAAAATAAATAGAGGTGTGGGGTGGAAAACAGTGAATGCTCCCCTACTACGTCTAACGATGATCCGTCCCGGAACCTGGCCGCACCCACCTGTCCAGGTTGAGCTTGTGGGCCAGCATCCTCCAGTCGTGGCCTCGGGTCTGGGGGGCGTCCAGGCTGCTGCAGAGCTTTTGCCGGATGGGGAGAGGAATGCTGAAAGCACTCGGCCCGGTGACTGTCGTGATGGTGCTCGCAGGGTCCAGCAGCGGCAAATCGACGCCAGTAGGTTCCTGTCGTTCAGGGGACAGGAAGAACACAGCGTCACGTCTCCAGGAAAAAAAGCAATCTCTATAAAACCAATCAACACAATGCCTTGCTTTTTGAGCGATAGGAAAAGAACCAGCACTATTATTCTCCGTGGTAAGAACGGCTTCTTCCAGGCCTGCAAGTAAGTGGGGGTCCCTAGATCTGGAGCTAACTCATGGGTCTTGCTCGAGGACTGGGCTGGATGGAAAGTTCTGGGGTGATTCAATTAACACCTTTTCTAATGGGATTCTCCAGGACGAGAGAGAAGGGAGGGAGTAGCGATGCTCTTCCAGGTTGCCATTTCAGGAGGGGAAAAATGTGCAAAAGGGCAATTCTGTGAGAATGAGCAGATCTGAGGTTAGAAGGGTGAAGGTTTCTGGAAACTGTCTGATCCTGAGGGTACAGCCCTGGGCAAATGCCCAGGTAAATTATCCCCCTAGCTCCCGCAGAAGATGGCTCAGCTCTGCTTTTGTTGAATGAAATGGAACACAGCCCTGCTCCGGTTGATGTCAATTTCAGACTAATTTTTTAAAAAGAAAATGGTAAACACAGTATATTATTTGCCTGAGGGCAAGCTGTTAACGACATCTTCCAATTGCTGTACACCCTTATTTTTTTTTTTCTTTAAATCTAATTTTAGTAGAGGAAAACCATAAATTGGCTCTTAAAATAGTTTCAGCTCATAAAACAGCATAAATGCAAAATCTGAATTTCATCTGCAGGAGAAACCCTAATCATTTTCTGATCACTGCTGCTGGTCGGAAAAGCAAAAGCAAATGTTGCCCGGGAACTATTAAAGCAATAAAGGAAAATCTACTTAGTCTACTTTAAATGTCATCTCTCTCTCTCTCTTTCCTAAAGCAGGTGACTCGGTGGTGTGCAGAATTAGTTGCTGGAGGTTGAACTAGCCACACACGGTTTCAGCCATCGTGAAAGTCTCTGGTGTCTCTCTGAGTGACACTGCGATTGTCGCCCAGACTCCCCGTGACCTGCAGGCCGTGGGGTGGATCCGAGTGAGGATCACGATCCGCATCGGGCACGGAGTTCCCACCAAGGGAATGAAGAGAGAAGGTTCCTGATCCTGGGGGTACAGGGGTGAAAGAAAGGTGGCCACAAGAGTGACAGAGTGTGCTCGCCACGTGTACCAAGGGACTTAGGTTCGCAATGTCTGAACCCACTGCACCCCGATCCCTGCATGGGGCACAGAAGGACGTACGGATGGGGTGGAGGTGACACGAAGTCACAGGTTAGTGCCCACGTGGAGGTCTTGCTTCTCTTCTGCATAATAATACTAGGGCCTAAAAGGACTCCAGCCTCATCCACTAATACCCCACCACCCCACGGGCCCTGCATGGCAGGGGAGGTCACCGTCCGCACAGGGTCTGCTTTCTGTCGCGTTGACCCTGTGTCGCCAGAGAGTCTCTGCACTGTGGCCCACAGGGGCTCCCTCGGGCCGACCTGTGACCCCGCCCTCCTGCCAGACTGACCCTCCTAAAGTGCCCAGCGATGCACGGCGTGTCTCCCCCCTTCTTCTCTCTCTAGGAAGTGACAAATGCCACCTCCCGACTCTCAGCCACACAGCGAGGGGAATCGCAGGACCTTCCGGCTGGGCTGGCACGAGGCCGCAGAGGTGGCACATGGAAAGTGCAGAGCCCGAGCCTGCCACAGAGGGGGGCCCGTCCCCAGCCTTTCTTGGGGTGCCCCGTCCTTGGTGCCACTCTGCCTGGCTCCCAGCCTCTCCAGAGCGTTAGGACCGAGTGCTAGCACTAGTGTCGTGTCTAGATTCTTCTGCCCTTTCCTTTAACCTCTGCGAGGCCAACCTCTCCCAGCCGGGTCCAAGAGGCACCAGCCCAGCATGCCCAGCCCAGGGCATGGGGACTCTGCTGCCTTCCTGCCCCTTCCCTTGATGTCGCCAATCTCCCGGAGGTGAGCCTATTTCTGCCATCTTCAGCACCGTGCTCTTCCCCTAGAAGCGACTCCGTTAACATCTGTCGATGGGCGAGACACCACTTTTTCCTGGCACAGAAAGACGACGCAGTCAGTCCCCGCAGGACTGCCGCCCACGGAGCACCGTGTCACGCTTCCTGCCACCTGAACGTGGCCAGGGCTTTGTTAAATCCTGAAGTGCAAGGTCTGCACACATACTCGGGGTGTCCCTTCCTCCCCTTGGGAACGAAGAGCCACCGTCATTTCCCGAGGGCGACACAGTCCAACCCCGGCCACGCCGCGTGTGCATTTCTGGGCAGCTGAAAGAAGCCAAGTGGGACACGATTTCTCAGCGCTCTTACCAGGTGGCCAGCATAGCCTTGGAGGAGAAAGAAACCACGTCTACACGTACACACCTCACCCCGTAGTTCCCGCTGCTGTCTTTACTTCCAGGTAAAAGCAGAGTCTACACTCGCCGAAAGCGTGTTGCAATAATCTCTCGTGATATGGGGACCACCTGCCTCTGCTGTTGACGACTCCCTTAGTTAAACATACGATTTTTCAACATTAACCAGACAGCTGCTCCACGCGACGAATGGCACGCATTTCACAACCCCGCAGCCCTGAACCAACTTTCCACTCCCATATTCTGACTCTTTCTTTCCTAAAGTGGCTTAGAAAAACTAGATTTCCCAAAGGGCCAGTAGGAGCGGAATATGGAAGCCAGAGGGGATGGCTGTCGCAGAGGATGCCACTGTGAACATTTCGAATTCTACACAGACATGCGATGATGCATCCCTGTTTAATAAGAGGTTATAAAAATCTAGCAAATGTAAGAAATTCTAATAACTGATATTACCTATTAATCTATTATTAAAGCAGATGATTCATTTGGCCTCCTAAAGCTATACCTTTTCCAGGGTGCAGAGCTTGGACCTACAGCAATGTTGGAAAACCAACTTGGGAATATATACACCGTCTTCTTTCCCCCTGCCCCGAGCTAACTTTCATTTATTAATATTTACTTTTCCTTCCTTTATATAGGAGCTGAGTTTGTTGGTTTTGATAGAAGTGAATGTGAAGCCTCAGTGGAGGACAGATTGGAGTGGCAGAGTTCACCCAAGACCCTTGTCACGCTAAGCCCATCAACTCCAACAATAATGGCGCCAACAATGTACTAGCACGTGCTTTGGGTCCAATTCTGTTGGGAGTACTTACTGACAGTCATTTAATTCCCCCAAGGGAACCCAAATTGGTAAAATGTAATGCCAACTTACACTTGGGGAAACCGAGGCAAGAAGAGATTTTTTAAGCAATTGCCCAATAGAATGATCTATTTGGGAATCTCCTAGGATGGGTGTCCGGCTGTGGCTGAAATGAAAGAGAAGGCATGAAGAAACCATAAAGTTCCCCTTCCTCTAGGCCATTTTTCCTTTTGGAAAGTCATGTGTGGCTTCCTCCTCTCTTCTGTGCTTGTCTATGAAATTAAAGACTAAAAAATAAGAAAAAAAAAGTATCTTTTATCTTCTTTTACATTTTGACATGCATTCATGCCAATACTTTTGGTCTTCCAGACGTTTTCATTCTTAGGCTTCATCTCTGGAGCCGGGCAACCTCTGGCCAAGGCACCCTGAACAGGACAGTCGCCTGGCTCCTGAAATGGCCGTGACGTGGGTCCCGCACAGCCTGGCGCCCGTGGTGGGCGACAGGTCCTCCGCCGGCTGGGTGGGAGGGGGCGGCACTGGTCTGGCAAGCCTGCTCCTCCTCGGGGACTCGGGACACTGGGCCTGGCGCCCCAGCCCACCTGCCACCTCGCCCTGTGACCCTTGGAAGGGTCCCTGCTCAGAAGACAGACACCACCGATGGGGCCTTTCTCTCCTTGTTCATGGGGTGCCAGCCCCACGGTGCCCTTTCTCGGAGGGTCCGGGTCTCAGAACTCTCTAGAGTGCACTGTTCATTGGCGCGCAACCCTGGTCCCCATTGTCACTGCCTGCGTCCACACTCCCGCCTCTGCACACCCCGTGCTAACCCCCACGGCCAGACGCAGTGACCCAGAAGCAAAAGCCACAGGCCCCCCCTAAATCCCCAAAGTCCCCTCCACTCCAGTCCCTGCTTTCCCCCCCTCCCTGAGTCACACACGGGCAGATGTCACCTGTGTGGCCGCAGGCTGGTTTCTCTGAGCAGACAGCCACCCCACTGCAAAAGAAATCATCTCCCCTCTGTGCCGGCACAAGAACGAAAGTCCTTAAATCTGTGACCACACGATGCAAATCTGTCCCTTTGCTGGGAGGACCTGGCGGGGGAGGGACGGAGGGGACAGCACAGAGCAGCAGCTGCCTTTCTTTGGTGGCTGAGGCTCAGCCACCTTTTCAACCCGCAGCAAATGCTCTCGCTGGACAGAAAAGCCAGCATCAAAGGCCCGGACCTCCGCGGTCCCCGCCAAAACCCCGGGGCCTTTGTTGTCCGGGGCTGGGTGGCTATTGAACTTCGGGGACCTGCTGGGCCGCAGAGTGACAACACCCTCCGGGCTGGCAGGGGTGGAGCCGCGTGCGCCTGGGAGATAGCGGCCCGGCGGTTGCCATGGCGCCCTGACACCGAGATCATGCCTTATGAATGTCACCGGGGCCCTGTGACTAAAGTTGTTTATGAGTCAAAAGTCGCATGGAACCGCAGGAGGAGACGATGGCCACCCCGCCCCGGTGGGCTGTGGGAAAGGAGGATGGGGTGGTGGCCTTCGGGGGGGGCGAGACAAGCCGAGCAGGCTGACTGATGTCCCATCTGTCACTGTCACCGTCACCGGGCGTGTGACAGCCAGGGGAGGCAGGGTTGCCATCACGCTGGTTCGCTGTGGCTTTAAAATACGACGACCTTGTGCTTTGGGCACGGGGGCTGGGCTCCCTGACACCCAGGACGGGGCCACCTTCCTTCCGTCCCCTGCCACCCGACAGCCGCTGTCCCCTTCGTGTCCCCAGGGGCAGGGTGAGCAGGCTGCAGGCCCTGGGACCCGAGCTGGCAGGTCAGGAAGGTCGGGGCACCTCCTGGTTTTTTTTATAGGGAGTCTCAGGTGGCAGTGGTCACTCTCGTGTGTGTCACACGGACACATAGCAGTGTCCAGCTCAAGTGTGTGACAGTCACAGCAACGCTGGCCGCCACCAGCGGGAACGACGCAATGTTACTTCTATTCCCACCTTGGAGAAAGGACATCTCTTCTCATAGCTAGAGAATGAGGGACAGGAGAGAAAGGAGAGCAAGAGATTTTTCTATCTACATGAAAAAAAAGAGAGAGAGAGAAGAAAGACGGGGACAGAGGCGGGTCCCCGTCCCCAAGCCCCTGCTCAGCATTGCGGCCTGGGCACCGGGCAGAAAGGGAGGGAGGAGACAGATGGAAGGTGCTGGAACGTCACGCAGCCAGGGACGCTTTGGGAGAAGGGCCTCCGTGTGCACACTGCTGAAATTAAGCCTGATCCTTGAAATTCAGAGCTGGTTTTAAAAGTCACAACGGGATTCTGGAATTCATGTCACAAAAAAGGAGACTGGTGCTCGCAGAAGCATTCCTGGTGATGGGCTTTCGCGTGTGCATGTTAACTGTTATTCCATCAACAAACAGGGCGGACGGAAGCCCTGGGGGACTCGCCGTGGGGCCCCTGTGTGACACCCCTGTGGTCCACGCCCTGTCCCCGCCCGGCTGGCCCCTCTCACCTCCGACACGGTGCAGTTCAGCTGGAAGATCTGCCCTTCCCCTTCCACCTGTCGCACGCACAGTTTGCAGACCAGCTCCACCGTGTTGAGGCTGAACCTTTCCAGGGTGAAGGTGCAGTGCAGGTTTCTCTGAGAGCCGCTCCAGATTTGGTAAAAAGGAATTTCCTTTATAAAGGAATACGAAAGTGTTAACCGCAAATCAAGGACTAACACTAAAAAAGAACCATCAGATCCTCTGCTGCTGGGGACTCATCTCCGAATCACAGACATTAACTCACAAAACCCTGTGGGTCAGCATAAAAGACCACCTTTTCACATGAAAAACAAACAAACAAAAAAAAACTGAGGCCCAGAGAGGTTAAGTAACTTACCCAAAGCCACACAGCAAGGGAGGGGCAGAGCTGAGATTCGAACATAAGGAGTCAGCCTCTAGAATATCCACGTACCTAACCAGTCTGCCACGTGTCTCTCATTTACAGAAAGAGTCATTGTAAATGCTGGGGGGAAAAAAAAAGTCTATAAAATTCCCAAAATAGAACTTACACACACCAGTCATTGCTCATTAAAAGGAATCCCTGCCGGGGCGTTCTGAGGAAAGCAGAGTCCAAAGGATAACGCCCCGGATGCCTTTCATGCTAGAATCTTCCTCCGACAGGATGGGGGAAGCTCACGCCCGCTAGGGCTGGCAGCTGAAGAGTCAATTAGCGACTGCAAAAAAAAAATCTTTGGCTTAAAATGCACCCAGCCTCTAACAGGCTTTGATTTCCTAAAAGTCTAGACCCCCTTACAGAGCCCAGCCTGGGATCTGTTTGCAATCAAGGAAAGGAAAGGTCGATGTGTGAGCCAAATCTACTACACGTGAGAGCGCCCCCCTGTGGCTACCTTGGGAATGTGGGCCAAGTTGCTTAACGCTTCTGTGCCTCAGTTTCCTCGTCTGCGAAAGAGTAAGCAAAGAGTATCTCATTCACAGACCTGCTGGGCTTAAAATGAGATAAACCGAAATGCATAAGACAGTGTCTGGCAGATGGTCGGCGTTCAGCCACAGTTAGCTTTAACTAATATTATTAATATCATTATTAATAAAAATAGTATGTTCCATTATGATTTTATAAAAGAAGTTGCTTCTAAAAGGCGGAGATTTGCGGAGGTTTGTGGCAGCTGCAACAAGGAGGAAAGAAGAAAGCCAAGGAGGATATGTCACGAGAAAGTCACAAGCCTGGTCTCTTGATCACGTGCCGTGTGACAGCTCAGCCGTGTGACTTCTAGAAGAGCCTGGCGAGCAACCCCTGAAAGCTCATGATTGGTAACAAACTAAGAAGTCTGCTTCCCATTGCAGGTGTGTAAGCACCTGACACAGGAGAGTAAGAATGGAGCTGAGAAGTCCTCCCCTCGGTCCTTCTAGAATGTTCTGTGACTGACATCAGGAAATAAAAACTGAGCTGCAGTTTGGCTGCAGTGCTGGGGTGGGTTGGACTTGTGTGTGTGTGTAGACACGGATCCCCTAAATGTGTCTGCATCTCCCAGGACTGGGTACAGGCTGTTTCCTGAGAGCTTGGGATGATGGGTAGAGGGGAAAACTTCTAGAGAGTTCTGTGACTGTCCCACAGGTGCATACAATACCCAGTACATATGTACCCATTGAAAATACTGCGGAACCAGTATTTTTATGCCTGTTACTGAGTCAATACTGAGTAGGTTTTATTTTTACATGCTATTTCGTTTCCCAAACTAGGGTTCCTTTAATTTTTCAAGGGTTACTGGCCTAGCAGAAACCTAATTTGTGTCACATGGTGTAAAAAATGTCCTTCTGGGTTCCTCTGTGAATGCCTTTCAGGTTGTTTTTAACCAATTCCATGTGAATATTCACTGTGCAAATTAATGGAAGTGATGGAATTGGAAGTCTTTTATTTTCTAGAAATAAAATAATGACAATAGTACAGTTTTTTTAAAGGAGAATTTCAAAATGCATTCTTTCAAACATGGTCTACAAGCTATTTTCAAAAAATCATAAATAAACCCAAGTGTTTTAGAGAAAGAAGTACTGACATGAAATTAATTTCAAGGAAGAGGGTTTCTTACATCTGCGTAATTTCAATCCTCTTTGTTGGAGCTGTCTTGCAAGCCTTTTCGTGCATCTTGGGAAACTCACCTGATATTTGGCCAGCAATTTGCTCTTCCAGAGGGAATGGGCGACGTCGTGAATTGACAGGCGCAGGTTGTGGGTGCTACCTTTAAAATGAAGGGCCTTAGGTTCTTCCAGGAGCTGTCCTCCCATCTGTCTCTCAAGATGTACAACTTCCTGCAATGACACACCCCAAAGCAAAAGCACATTACTGAATGGCATCGCTTCCGTCCATTCTTGGATCCAACGATTGTGTCTTCCCTGTGCTTTCTCAACAGCAGATCTGACCTTGGGTGACACCATGGACATCCACTTTTGCAGCCTTGAGCTTCCAGGCGAAGCCCTGCCCATTTGGTATGGGACCAGGCCCTTCTGAGGAACTGTTTTGGCAATCTACGTTACACTGTTATCTGCCCTTACCAAATGGAGTATTTTACCAAATACAGATGATTAATAAGCGGCATTCAAAACTGGAAGAACCCCAAATCAAAGAAAACACTGGTAGCAATATAGATAAACAAATGAAAAAGTAGGTCGTCAATCAATTTTTAGGGAAAGGGGCAAATAAGATCATGTCTTGGATTTGATCAAACAAACCAACAATCAAAATTCCAGAACCTGTTGTAGACATTTCGTTCAATCTCTTACCATTTCTTTAGGTACAGAAATAAAAACATAAAATTTCTGCTCAAAATAATCCATCGCATTTTTCCAATTATTAAAAAATTTTTAGAATATGCTCATTATAATAAGTCACATTTGAGGAAGGTAGTCTGATACAGATTAGGAAGGTTTTTTAAACACCAACTAGTGAAGTCCCCAGTCAATCAAATTCAATTTTACAAAGAACACCTGATTTCTCAAGAATTCTAGCTGATGAAAAAAATTTGCTATGCAATTTACTTACACTATAAAGATATAACACAAAGACAAATTCTATGTATACTTCCATTTCTCAAGTGCGTTAATGGGAGTTAATGAAGCATTTCCAACGACAGTTGTAATTATCCAAACAGCAGCAAGCATCAGTTACCAGTGAACAAATGATCCAGGTTGGGTGTCTTCTGCTGTCTGAACCATCCCTGTGTAGTTTACTTCTCTCGTGCCTTAAAGGTTGGAATGGTACAAATATGTAGGCAATTGCCGATCTTCTAAAAACAGGGGTCCAAGAATATAATGGACCTTCATTAAGAAACATATAAATAGGTGGCTGGGCGTGGTGGCTCATGCCTGTAATCCTAGAACTCTGGGAGGTGGAGGCAGGAGGATCACTCAAGGTCAGGGGTTCAAGACCAGCCTGAGCAAGAGCAAGACCCCATCTCTACTTAAAAAAAAAATAGAAAAAAATTAGCTAGACAACTAAAAACATAGAAAACATTAGCCATTAGGGCATGGTGGCTCATGCCTGTAGTCCCAGCTACTCGGGAGGCTGAGGCAGGAGGATCACTTGAGGCCAGGAGTTGGAGGTTGCTGTGAGCTAGGCTGATGCCACGGCACTCTAGCCCGGGCAACAGAGCAAGACTGTCTCAAAAAAAAAAGAAACATACATATATGATTTTCTTATCTGGTGATATGTTGATAGACAGGGAGTTCAAGAACACAGGGTGTTCATCCCAAATGCCACACACACACGTGTCTTAGGCACCTACCGGGGTACCAAGCACAGATGGGTCATGGTGGAAGATTTCAAGTATGGGGGCTTGATTGCCTCATATCCAGAAATGCATCGCTTTGCATTTGTTAAATGAATTCTAACCCACGCGATTGTGACCCAGGAGGCGTGGGGTTCACCAGTGTCACTGATTGGGCATAAACAGCTCGTTGCAAGCTACTGCTTGAGCAGTTCTTAGCATCCATCATCTTTGGGTCAAGCCACTATTCTGAGCAACGCGACCTCGCTGGAAGGTCCTATAAGGTGTAAAAAAATATTAGGATCGTGTGGCATGTGGTCTCAGGCAGGGACTTCTCTAATTAGTGGCTGATGGAAGAGGTGAAGCAATAACACACTGACTCAGAGAGGCGTGTGGTCCGGTTGCCTGAGAATTATTGACTTGCTATTTAACGTGGTTGGATGGTGAGGAGCTATTACTTGTGACAGGAGCCTGAGCAGCCAGCAGGTCCCCGCCACAGCCGGCTGGCTCCGAGGGGCTCCAGTGGGCCACACAGAGCCACCCAGCCTGGTCACACGTGCTCCTTGCAGAACACCCTCCAAAACACTGCACACACACCCCATTCCTCGACAAGAATCCAGCCACGTGGAAATGCAGGAGGAGGAAAGGGAGGGTTAATTGCACTTCCCTCTGCTTCTGCAGGAAGGCATAATGAGCTTATGTTGATCATGTTTGTTGTCTAGTTAGCATAACAGAGAAAGCTGATGTTCCCAGCGAACCTGGCACCTGACAAACTCTAAAGCTAAAATGATGTTTGTTTATAAGCCATTAGAAGAAAAGAAACATAATCAGAAATCTTTGAGATTACAGTCATGCCAATCAATCAGTTCCAGCTTCTTTCTAGTACGCCCTAATTACCTCATCAAGACGTCTAAAGAGCAATCGATAGTAATTATCTGATTACTATAGATCTTCATTACGTCCAAATTATCTCCCTGGGATGTCTAAAAGAAGATGCATTGTATTCCGGGAGGTAATTGGACCCAACGATGTATAATCCACACCCCGTCCCTACACTCGACATAGACTGCCAGAGGACAGGGAGAACATTATCAGTTTTTTCTTGGCAGGGAGGATCACTGAGAGAACCTAGACTGCCTATTGGCCGTGACCTTGAAGTCAAGACATCCAATGGCACATTTTGAGTGCAAAGTCTGGGCTGGAGTGAGCCCAAGCTTAAGGCTCCATGTTTGGTTCAATAAAGTCACGGTCAAGAATCGTCCCTAGTGGGGACACAGTCTGGACTGGCTTGGAGAGTCTTTATTTGGGAGGAGGGACCAAGAAAAGTGTCATATTGAGGACAGAGAACACAACCTTTCCATACTCTTAATCTTCCCATCTCTCCATCAATCAGAAGAGACACAAAGTTGCTGCCCAGAGCTGGGAAGAAGCCAGCTTTTTCTCTCCCTTTCAATTGTACCTGATCCTGGTGACAAACTGCCCATCAGAAGGCATCACACTTAGGGCAGAGACCTCTGATCATGTTTGCTTACATATTCTACCACTCAAAAATTGAGCATGCATTTTATGATTATTTACATATCATGAATATATCAATATGTTAATACATTATAAATATGCATAAAATTTAAAAATACATAAAGTTCTTCGTTTACCTATCTTAGCAAAAAGCTAAGCACTAATACTGTCTTTTTTTGTCCCAATGGTTCATTGGCCTTGGGTGTGCGAACTCCATTTGGGAAACTGCTGTCATTTCACTAGTTCTTGGGGAAGAACTCAGCCCAGCAGTGAAAGATTCAATAAGAAGAAACTTCACCAAATTTAAATTCAACATGGTTTCCTTAAAAGTGTCAACTGGTATCATTATACTCATTAAACATAACGAAACATAACAAAATAAAGAAGACAGTAACCAAAATGTGACTCAAAGGTATCTCAATCAATCAATCAATCGATCAATCAAACAACTCCTTGGAAACTAAAATAGCCTAAAACCACACGTGAGTCAGGGCTGACTTGTCACCTACAGTGAATCCCAAATTTAAGTTTTGAGTCAGAAGCAGCAAGCCCACCTGAAAGGCCGGCCAGGCTTTCATTCCAAATTTTAAGCGTTGCAATTTGGGACATGCTGTAGCAGTGACAACTTAGAAAACTACACTGTAACTTGTACTCCAAGAGGTGCGATTTTCTGAAATCCGTGTGTATGACATCACTTTGGTGAATATATTTATGATGTATGAAAATCACAGACACACACGTCAATAAGATATGGCTTTAGAGTTAAACGTTTCCCTCTCCTTAATCTTTCTAGAAACATTCATGGGACAATTGGAAGACATGTTGTGAGGCCTGCCGGGAACCACGCCGGGCTCCGTGGCACAAGGACAAGGACGTCCCTGTCACTGCCACAAACTGCTAATGGTCCACGGGGGAGGGGGAGACCCTGTGTAGGCACGTCACCACAACACAGTGTGCTCAGCTCTAAAACACCTTCTAGAAGGGCTGCTCTTGGATCGCGAAGGTGAGGACAGTGCACACACCTTAGAAAACAATCCGAAGAAAATACACTGAAGGTCAAGAGACTTAGGAAGGCTTCAGAAAATTATCTGTGACCTTGGAAAGAAATGCCAGGATAGGAATTAGGATCATCTAGGCTCTTTGTTCTCAGGGAATGTAAATGTCACCTCTCTCGGCAGAGGCTGTTGTCCTCTCTCCTGGTGGGGTCTCCCACCTCGGTGGCCTGTTCTAGCTCTGGGGGGGGGAGGGGTTGGTCCACCTGTCGCTTTGAGGAGCTGGCCCTGCAGATTGGGGGCGGTTTCTGGCTCCTTGGAACAGTTCTCTCTGCACCTGTCCAAGTGTACTTCCAAAGATGTTCCCGAGAGCAGCTTGAACCCCAGTCACAGTGTCACCAGGAGCAGTCCCCCGCCTGGGAGCCCGGTGTTGGTCCCCTGGGAAAGAGGGACCCCTTCCCCAAGGCAGTGTCTACCCGAGGGAGGGCCATAGTGACTCAGGGACTCTGGGAGGGACCGCCCCAAAGGCGGGGACAAGGGATACCACGGTAGAAACAAGCAGCTCTCACAATAACCAATTAAATCAAGACGAGATCCATGCCAAGCCATTAGCCTGGGCCACGTAGGAGCCACACAACATCCAAGTTGAGTCAAAGGCCTGAGCGCACAAAGGGAATCACCTCTCCTGGCCTGTACCCAAATCTCTCCCAGGCTCTTAGACGACGGGATCTGCCTGCGTTAAGGCTGTCACAGAGAGAGGCCAGAGGGAGGAAGCATCTGGAAGCCACACTGCTCCTACACGCTGGCCTGTCCCATCCCCGGATTTCTCCTGTTGGGGTGGGATTGCATCTGTCCCCTCCGTTTCTCTTCCTCCTTCCCTGCCTCTCCTTGCATGCAGGGACCGATTTCCCGTGCTGGTCTCACACTGGCTGTCCCCGGGAGCCCCCAGGCCCCCGAGTGGCAGCCACGCAGACCCTCTGGCACCTTTCTGAATATGACAAGTGTCTGTCCCCAGGGTCCAGGCTGAAGCTGGGCC